GATTTTGGAAATGTATTGACTGAATGGTACTCAAACAGCCTTCCAAATCAGCCACTCAGGACTGGACGTGGGATTGCATTTTGGACGTGGAAAAGGTAGTAGTGTGACAGCACTGATCCCAGCAAACCTGTATGAAGCATGTGAATACACTGCACCTCTCAAGGGACAACTTGGTTTTGAAATGAGCACAGGAAGAGAACAAAGTACTGCTGTTGGTCTGATATAAATTGCTGCCTTGTTTTCGAGTACCTCAGCAACAATATTCAATGTTGTGGCAAAAAGTGCAGCACAGTGAATGTGGTGTTCTGGTGCAAGCCAGACTGTCACTTTTGGAACACACCTGTTTGTGTCACATGCATGTCCCCACACTTTGTTTCCAATTACATATTCACACCTAAGAGTACACCTTGACATCTTTACTTGTCCACCTCTTGCAAATATTCAGACTATTCGTTCTGATGTCTAGTTGGTTTCACACTGTTCTGCTTGTTGCTATTTTGAATGAACCAGGTAAGAGCTGGATGGGATTCCACCTAGCAAAAGGGGATGGAGTTTGCTGAGTAGTTGGCTACTATCCACTGCTGAGTGTAAAATAATGCTGAAGGCCTTTGAACAGTGTTACTGCATTATGATTATTTTTTTTTCAGTCTTATTGTGGCTAATACTGATTTTTGAGAAACTAAGGTCTGAGGTTGATACTAATTTGACTTAGGACTGTATAGCTTCCATAAACAGTCATACTGACCTTAGGTCTAATTCTGCTTTTCAGAGTACCCCTTTTTCAGCATTGAATCTGAGCTGCTGGGAGATGAGCCTGTTGTTCCTAGCCATAGAGGGTGATATGCAGAACAGCATTTACCTCGTGAATTTATCAATATTTAGGGCTAGTGGAAATAAAGAACTATCAATTCTATTGGTCTGGGCCTCCATCAAAGTCAACTAAACATTGACTTACCAATGTTGAATAGCATGCAGGTTTCTTACAGCCAACAACCTGAAGAGATTTGAGAATGAAGGTTGAAGTTTTGTGGTTGTACCTTTTTGGCCAGTCCAAATATCAATGTGTAGCCCCGTGGACATCCAGAGCATGAAGAAAACTCACTGAGGAGCTGGTTTGTTGTCACATGGAAGCTGGGAAAAGCTTTTCAGACTTCAGTCTTTGTGGCCTCGAATGGTTTGTTAGGTTCTTATGTTCAATTTCATTTTGTAACAAACTACATAAGAAAGAAGTTTTTGCAGGAGGAGTGAATTAATTTTAATTAGTGATGCCTCTTAATGAAATAGAGTGAATTAGATCCTTCATTTTTTTGGCTGTGTTTTTCTTTGAAATTCCAAAATACCTCCCCTCACCAATCTTTTTTGGTCTAGAAACTGATTTACAAAAGCAAGGGTGTTTTGGACTTAAGCCCAGAACTTCCCAAGCTGTAAACACACCAACAAATTTCGATGCCTTAAATTATCTTGTAGAAATAATATTGATATGGTGAAAAATTCCAAGTTTTAGAAATACTTTATAAAACTTTCAGCAACAAGGCTCAGCTATGTAAATGCTTTCATTCTTAATTATGGTATTGCAGTATTTCCATCACTGGATATCCAAGGTGTATTAGTGCCATCAGGAACACAGCCTATATAGTCTGTATTCATTTCTTGAGCAATTTAGTGGATAAATTTTTATTATAAATTTTATTGGTTTTTTTATTGGATAAATGGGTGAATTTTTCTTTTTTTCTTATTAAGGAGTAAGAAAGCATGAGGATTTCTGTTTGGACATAGCTCTTAATTTCAAGTGCACTGAAATGAAAGGTTTCTGGATGTTTGACAGTGCTGTAACACACGAGCAGTGCTGTGCACCTAGGGGAAGTACAAGGTGAATATAAACTCTGGATTGTTCAGGGCTGATAGGTTGGGGTATTTTTGGTGCCTCTGGCCTAAAAGTTACCACCTACAAAGCTGATTTATTGGAAGATGGCTGCTGTGTGCCTGACTATTAATATTTGAAGCTCTTAACATCTGACCTTTAAATATATTGAAGCATGTTCCTTTCTTACTGATACTACAGAGAATTGAGTTTCCAGTACAAATGCAAGCACTTGTGTAAGTTCTTAAATTTGAGATTTAAGATTTCAACCTGAATCTTGAAATATAACTCCTGAGGCTGCACCACCAATGCAGTTCTTTGTGTAGACTGACAACCGATTATATGGGGCATCTAAAAGATCAGTACAAAGGTTTCTCTATTGGTCTTTATTCAGTTAGTTGGTTCCTTAAAATTGTGAGTTTTGGTTGGCCTTAATCTTAACCTGCATGGTTCTGTTCTCTGCCAGTGGGCTGGACACTGGCTTACCTGTGCATTTAGGAGTGTGTCCATTGGCCTTTCTCAAACTTTATTAACTAGTGCTACAGCTCCCTGGGATCCTGACAGAAGGCAAGTGGAAAGTGAAGACCTAACTTCAGGCTTTTGTTATGCAAAAAAGAAATCTTAAGTGCACTAGTGTGAGTTTTTTTTAACGACAGTTCCTGGGCGTGCAGGGTCAAGTACTAACATGTCAGTGAAGCACAAATATTTGCATGTTCCTGTTACAGTGTGAAGTAGAATGCAATATTTAATTAGTAGCATTGTGCAATATTGTTGCTACAGCTCAGTGTCCAGTGATTTTTTTTATAAATTCTTTTATTCAGGTTTCATGGTACTGTGTGGCATGGAAATGGCCTCTGTGTCCAGTGTATTTTGAAATAAATTTAAAAATTGTTCTCAAGTTACTCATATTTCTTTTGTGTTCTTTAAGTTTAGTTTATTTAGGTGAGTAGTTTCTAGAAGGAAACACAGTCTAGTAAACCCAGTGATTTTTAACTTATAATTTGTGTACTCCTGTAGGTGTAGATTAATTATGTACATTATACACAGTTTTGTACATCTTATACGAAAATCTTGGGAAATAATTTTGTTCTGTTTCTCAATCAATGACTTTTACTAAGTGATGTGAGCAGAATTAATATTTCGACAGGGCCTGTATCTTTAAAAATGCAAACATTTATTTGGGCTTTAATGAATACCTGCAGTGATGCACTGAATTTAGATTGTTCAGTGTTGTGAACACACCATTCAAGTAATGTGCCAAATAGAATTAAATAATAAAACAGATTAGAAAGGAAGTTTCTTGAATTGTATACACCTGTTCTGATGCAGAACTATGAAGGTTTGTTCTATATAAGATCCTGCATCTTCAGTTTCATGATCGGGGGGTTAAACAGTACATCATACCTTTCTTTAAAAATACAGAAAGGTTTTCTCGTGTCTGGGCTATTTCAGTACAATTCTGGGAATTAAATTTCTAGTGTGAGGATGTGTGAAAGTAAATTATTGCGAAGTAGTTACAGATATATGGGATTAATCACTTGATAGCTAAATGAAAAACTACATTTCTCTAAACTTGAAACAAGAAACTTACATAAAACTGTGGTTTGTTTTTTATATATATTGAAGGAAGACTAGTATAATATAGCATTAATCTGTTTATTTTAACCTCTACCTAAGGTACATGCACCCAGTCATCACCTGACACAAGTGCACAGTACAGAACATCCATATAGCATTTCAACTTTCCTGCTGGAAAAGAGGAGAGAGAATTTCGCTGTGTTTTTGGTGCTCCTAGGGTCATTCTTCTGGTTTTGGTTTAGTTTCTCTGCCTAGCATGGATATGAAAATATTACACTTTCTTTTGTTTTATTCATAAGATACAAAGGACATTTTTAACCTCTTCAGTTGCTCTGGGCTCCCTCCTTCCCCTCCTTACTGGTTCAAGAACTGCTTTCCCTGAGTCTTCACCTCTGGTTATTCCACGTTCAACTTTGATCTATGTGGGATTTTTCTTCTAAAGATTTGGTGTTGGTTATAACTAAATTTTGAGCCTGCGTGGAAAATACTGAAAGTGAAGTCTGTGCCAAATTTCAGAGCTGGGTTTGTGCACTGCTTGATAGTGAGTAATTGAATCCTTTTCCCTAACTTTATCTGATGGTTGCGTAGTGTCTGTGCTGTTCTGTCCTTAAAAGGAACTGTGAAATAATATTGTGCAGCTATAAAAGATTGGGGGAGTCTGTCTCATCAAAGCTCTTCAGCTTTAGAAAAGAAACAAGAGGGATTTCCAAACTTTTCCTAACTTTTACTGTCAGCAATGTGGAGTCTGGTAGTTAAGCTTGGTTCTTTCTGGCTTGGGTGGTGGTACAAATAATGAATGTAGTTAGGGTGTAAATTGGCTTTAGGGTACCTTCAATTGGTAATACAACCTTTTTTTTCCCCAATAAGCCATTTAATCTGGATACTCTGCATCTTGGCTAAGTAAAACTTGGTCTTGCAATTTGAACTGAGCCTAAGTGGTGTTCCTCTTTAAAAATACTGAATTTTTGGGTTATGCCAGTGTCCCATGGACTGTAACCTCAGAAGTTCATGTAGGTTTTGCTGTCAGAATAAATAAGCACAAAATGTTTCAGCAAGTTGAGACAGTGTGGGGTGCCAAACCTTAATGACTGAAATTCCTCCAGGTTGTGATCTAAAGACTTGCTACCCTAGTGGAAAGCTCCTGCACTTCTGTTCCCCAGGGCAATGCCAGAGGTAAAAACTCTGCAAGCCATTCTGGCCAGGCCAGTTTGCTGGGCACGGCATCACCCCCCGCAGCAGAACTGCTCTTGTCCATGGGCCCAGACTGTAAAAACTCTGATATTACTGGTAGCAGGTTATAAATTTCAGCTGGGCACTAAAGCCAAGCAGCTGCAAATGAGGCAAATCAGCTCGTTACCCTTGACAGGACAGAGGGATGGCTTCTGTGACAAGGATCCTTCAGTTGTTATTTTACCCTTGGCCGCTAACCTTGTGATTAATGTGGAAATAACATAGATAAGTACCCACGTTAAGATACTAATGAGTTGCCTGCCTTGAGTGATTTGTTGTGGCATCTAACTGCTTCTTCTCTTCCTTCCTTTTTGTCACCCTGCAGTGTTCTGTGCCAAGGTCTTTGTGGCTAGGCTGCTCCAACCTGGTAGAGAGCATGTGCGCACTGAGATGCCTGCAGAGCATGCCCAGTGTCAGATGTCTCCAGGTGCCTTTCTTCTTTCTTGTTGTAAATGTTATGCGTATGCTGTTGAACATTTGTTAAACTCTCAGGACTCTGTTTAATCAAATTGTTAAGTCTGCTAAATGTTTGTTGTGCATCCTTTTCTGAAATCTTCTACTTAAACTGCCATTTGTAGGAGCGAACCTTAAGAGGGCTTTCTGTGCTGTGTAGGCTCCTAGGGGGGGTGGTGAACTTGTGTGTTTTATTGCCTGCTTACTGAGGTTGTGATATAAGTAGCATAGTTGTGCATGTTGCCTGCCACGTTTTGCTTTCTCATTTAATTTAAAAGAAACAACAACAACAACAAATCAAAACATAATGAGCTTTGCCATTTCTCTGAAACTGCAATGAACTGACTAGCTTGTGATATTTGTGTGATTTCATTTAGCAAGGTTAAGCTTTTTGTTTTCTCCAAAGGGTAATCCTGGTTATAGCCTTCCATTACAGGGGTTGGTCATGTTTGAATGCAGGATAGTTAGGATGGAATCCTGGAGCTCTCTGAGTTCCTCCGTTAATTTAGCTTCTTAACTTTAAAATAAAGTGAAGAGCGAGGGTGGGAATTTGAAGAGCACTACGACTCAAGTTCTCTGTTCCTTTTCTTTTAGTGAGCTGTTGAAGCTGAGCCTCTGTGATTTATAGGTGGGGGAATTGCTGGTGTTTCTTTGCTGGTTTGGGAGGGACAGAAAATGATAAAAAGGAACATTTTGATACCAGTTAACAATTTAGAACTCTGAGGATATTTACCTTGGAAAGAAAATGCAGAGCATGTGTAGTAATTGGGTGGCAGTTCCTGATGTTTCTGAATGTAACATTTTTAGCAGAACATAACTATTATTTTATATTAGCATTTTTAATAACACAGTAGGGCTATTCAGTGGCTCAGTGTTTCATGTGTACAAAACAAATACTTAAAAGGAACTGGGTTTTTGTGAATGTAAACGTAAAACATTGTTTTGTTTGCAGTCCATTAGGCTGGGTAGACACTGGGTAACATGAGTGTCTTGCCTTCCACATTTATTTAAAAACCTCTCCTCTTCCTGCAGAATATGCCATTTGAGTTCCAGCAAACTTGAGTTGCAGGATAGGAAACGTTTTGCTGCCAATACTTATCTTTTAAATGCTGGGTGTTGATCTTGGTTTTATGGACTGAAAGCCAAGGGGAGGGTTAGCTGCAGGACCCCCACACAGGGAATTTTGAAAAGAAATCTCTGCAAACACCTGGTTTGGGAATTTCAAGGACACCTTAATGATGAATCTGAAAACTTAATGGCTGTCCCAGGTTCTTAAAAATCACCTCTGGAAATGTCTCTTAGCACATCAGGACAAATTAACTGGGTGTTTTTTCTCCCCACTAAACTTTTTATTAACAAACAGAAAAAAAATCCATATATTCAATTGAAATAGTAGCAAACCTATTTATTATGAACACTTTTTTTCCTTTCTGTTACAGTGTCTCTCAGTATGTGCATGGTAGTTAACTGTAAATTGAAGAGGTGAAAGCTCAGACCAGGCTGGGCAGTAGATTAATTAATGCAGAATACACTGGATTACAAACTTCTGTTGATAATACCAGATAAAATACCAGTCTGTTCATGAGCATACTGCTTTATTCACAAGGGTTTTGGAAGCTTGTTATCACACAGATGTGGTGGCATACATAATTAAAAACCATGGCTAATGTAGCTGTTAAGTCAGGATGTTTCACTCTGAAAAATTTCTCAAAACTGGACTGTTTTCAGGAATTGTTAGAGGTCTGTCAGCTTTCGTGAAAACCACATTTGAAGTACCAGTTAATTTGTGTAGGCTTTTTGCTCCATGTGCCTGTAGGAGTTTAACAATCCCAGAACATTTTTCAACTAAATAGTAACAGCTAAGAGGGTTAACAAATTTCAGTAATGAAGTCCCTCACTGCAAGGACAACCACATTGTTCAAGCTGCTGGGTTGCTCTGAAGCTGTTGGGAGCTCATTGTGTGGAAAGAAACCATTTTGTGTGTCCAGCCTGTTGGACTTCAGGAGTTACTGAGGAGGGGTTTCAGTAGGGTGTTTCACCCCTCTGCCTGTTGCAGGGCTTGTGCTTTCCTGGAGGGTTGTTTGGAGAGCAAGAGGGATAACTGTCCTAAGTAGGTACCTACGGGGGATGCTGCTTGGTAAGATGTAGAGAAAGCTCTTTTAATTTGAATTTGTTCCAAAATGAAGGCATTTTTTTTGTTCTTAAATATGTTTTTGTTGTGTTTCTTTTTTTTTTTTTTTTTCTAAGAACTGCAATTAGGAGTAAAATGTTTTTAATCTTCTGGAAGCATCTGTGGGAGATACTTTTTTTTTTTTTAAAAAAAGCTTCTCCTTTCAGGCATCTGACTAGGTGATGCCCAAAGGGGAACTTGGAAATTAAAGTGGCACCAGTTGGTTTTCCCCATTTTTAATTTTGGTACCATGACCTGCCCTTGATTGTTTCCTGAGCTATAAGCCCACACGTAAGAGCAGGTAGGGCAGATATACCAGGAGCACACACTCAATTAGCATAATTGTGATTAATAGGAAGTGCTAAGAGGGAAATACAGAAGCCCTTCAGTGATTCACAGAGGTTACCTCGGGGTTTTATCTGTTATTGTGTGGATATGTAGAGTAATTAGAGAATGGACTAGAAAGAGGAGGAAAAAAACCCTAATCTTTAATCTAGAGCCTTGTAGAATTTCTTCAGGAAGCTCTTTTTCATTCTTAGTGGCTTTTCAAACATTGAGGCTTCAAGGAATAATCTGTCATCAGTCTAAAGAAGAAAGCAGAGATTACATTTGCTTGTGCCTTTCCATAATGTTGTTAGCAACCATAAAACCTAACAAGGCTTTTCTAAAATCAAGCTGTAACATTTAAGCTAGTATCCTGTGATGCCAGTAGGTTTTTGGTGTTTGCTTTCTCTAATGCAGAAAAATACCTTCATAGTTGCTGGAGTTTACTGGAGAAATACTTCCTTTCTGCATTCTGTGAGCTGTTAGTAAATGGACAAGAGAGAGATAGATAGTTTATTTAAAAAATATTTGTTCCCATTTGTGGTATTTGAAGTTTGCCCTCATCTGTTCTGATTTTCAGTGTAATTAATTTGAAAATAAAGTCCTCTCCAGTTATTATCACTTGCTATTGTTCTATTGAAAATCATATATTAAATGCAGTTCATAATACTTGAAGCTGTTATATGTTCTGAGGCCTTGTTTTTAACTATGTAATTATCTTTAATAGTGTTTTTGTACCAAGGAGCTTAGCATTATGAACACATTTGGATTCCAGTAGCTGCTGTTCTCATCCTCTCTTTTGATATGTATTTGACTGCAAGATTCAAAGCATACTGATCTCTTATTGAGGTGTTTAGTGAAAATGGTTCTATTACCAGTTGTGTAAGGCAACTGTATGGATACTGTCTTCCATAGCTTCATCCCCATGGATGAAATGATCCCCATGATCCCTACCTGCAGTGGTCTTGAGCATATTTTGTCACTCTGATTTGAGAAACAGCTTCAACAGCTCTGTCACACAGAAATGTCCAGTGTTCTTGGCTCTATGAGTAGACATCACCAGTGTGAATTGAAGACTAATCATTAAGCAGCAGAAGCTAAGTACCCTTTGAATTACTGCATAATGTGGGACGTGATGAGGTAATGCTTGGGGAATAAATTATTAGATAGATGTAGTGAAATTAACCTAGTAACCAAATACTGCTCAATCAATTCTTTGTTGTATTCAATTACCCTTTTCCTTGAGTATTTTTTTTTAAGACATCATTGTATCTCTCTTCCGAAACAACTCTGCTTAGTGTTTTCTTGCTTATTTAGATCCCCCCAACATGTTTGGTTTTTTTCCTACTCCATTCCATTTATTGTCCTTAATGTTTTCAGCTTAATTGTGTGATGTATCGTGCTCTTCCTTTTATGTTCACAAGTGGGGTAGGTAGCTTGAAAGTTTTAACAGAACGCTGATTGACTTCAGGAACAATAAACTTCTCACTTCCAGAGCTTCTGATGTGAGAAGTCACCTTGTTTCTCCAGAGGTCAGGATTTACCATTCCTGTAGTAGCCTTTACAGGCTTGAAGCTACCCTGACTCCTGCTCCTGTTGCTCAGTGGTCCAGAGGCTTGTAACAGTGCCTTTCTCTTTACCTGTCCTTTATCCTCAACTGCTGCACAGTCCAGTTCAGATCAAGCTTTTCCTTGATCTCCATTTTCACTCTTTCACCATGTGTCCCGGTGATGGACAAGCAGTAGGAAGGTGACATTGACTTAATTCTTGCCACTGTCACTCCTGTTTATAAAGACAGGGGTGTATTGATTTACTCTCCATAACTGGAAGCTGTCTTCACAAATACGTGGATTTAAAAGCCTTTTGAATTGGCCGATTCATAATTTATTGCTGTTCTGAAGAATTTACTATTTGCCAGTGGCAAGTGGAGTTTGGGAGTGTTAGGGGTTTAATATTTATTCCTCACAGGAGCATTCCCTGCAAAGGAAATTATTTGTTAGCAATAAGGAATCTTAGTGCTATCACTAAGTGGTATCACTTAGTGCTATCACAGCTGAAGAGAGCCACAAAGAAGGAAATTATTCTGCTTATTGATAAGACAAATTTAGCATTGACTTGCTTAAGCTTCTATTTGTTATTCTTTACTATTTGAGCTTCTCTTGGCTGATGTTTCTGTTCAGATACCAGAAGGAAGTACAACAACAGAAACTATAGTTGTAAAAAATTGTACTTGGAGAGCAAAGAATTCCAATTTATTTACATGAAAACTTCATCATCCTTTTCACAGTACAAATTCAGGCATGGGACATGATGCAGTATTCTTCAAATGACAATGAGTGCAGTAGATGCATTCTGCTAAAACCCTTTCCTGTGGTGCATGAAATCACGAATTGGAAGATGATGAATAGCCTGTCGCTGGGTACTCTGCATCCTTTTGAAAATCTGACTCTTCTGTGCAGCTGTTAAAATGACTTGTCATA